GGAACACATTTTATCTGACAAGATAGAGATGGTATTGAAAGTGGATTTACAACTGACAGGCCAAGAGGATGACTTAGAAAAGGATGCCTCACTGGAACTACAAAAGAAACTGGCTGAGGTCTTAAAATTTAAAAGGGAAACACAAATGACAAACCAAGAGAGTGACCTGGATATTTTTGTTCCTATTGGATTTACGAAAGAGGCTTGTTAAAGCCTTGAAGAATTCTGTGCAATGGGACAAAGAAGCAATGAAGAGAAATCAAATCCAACGAAAATATTTGAATGAACTAAAGATTAAGACTATTAGAAGTAAAAGAAAGGAATATTAAGTTGGTTTATTCAATCAAGGTTAAAATATGTGTTACTTCTGGCCACCCTTTATGGACTTTCTGCTGGCACTGGGTGATGATTTATGGATTTGTTTATAGATAAGAGATGGGATATGGAATGAACAGATAAATGTCGGCAAACTTTGAGGGGGTAAAGAGTCACTAAATTTGTTTATAGTGATGATGAAGGTTGGAGGTCATATCTTTATATATTTCTTTTCATTATATTCTTTTCTTTTCTTTTTCCTTGCACTTTTTACTCCACTCTAGTCTCTTTTCTTTTAGTTCATACTAGTATAATCATACTTGATTACAAGAAAAATTCTTAATATACACACACATACACACACACAATTTTCTGCATTTCTTCTTGTTCATCAACTCATACTGCAGCCCAACATTGTTGCTTGTACTCCAGTTAACTCTGCATTTCTTTCATTTTTTTTCCTTACGAAAACTGTCCTATTTTTTAAAGACAACTACAAACCAGTTGGCATTTTTATTCTGCACAGTGTTTTCAATTTCTTCTTGTCTAGAGGCACCCAACTTTGATTAGTGAAGAAGTTTATTTCATGTTACAGGTAATTTATAAAGCTATCAGGCAACATTGACCTCAGTTGGCTTCTCTTTCTCATTTTTTCCAATATGTTGGTTGGTTAAAAGTCTGTGATAAACAAAATTCAAATATTTTAGCGAGCTGACCGCACAATCATGTTTTCCTCACAGTATTTTTTGCTAGGAATGCTGCAAAGATTTATTTTATCCACATTTTAAAGCAAATTAACCTATTTTACTCCTCTGACAACTTTGCAGAATAGAATACATCTTCTGGATAACACACTCCTTAAACTTGGTAATGCAGTCCTTGGTTAAAAGAAATACATAGAAAATGTTCATTTCAAAGAAAAAATGTGTATAAAAACATTAGGGAAAGGTTAGGAAATATGTACCTTTTGGCATAAATGCATATAATACAAAGGTACATTTGTGTTTTAAAAATAAATACAAAACCGAATGGTTTAATCTGTCCATCCCTAATTTTAGTGCCAACTAACATGGCACGAAAGCAGTAGATCAGAGAAAGAGTCCATCTTCTCCCCACACCAAGAATCCTGTTTCTAGGAAGGTCCTTCTGTTGCCCAGTATACAGGGATAAACTGCTTCTGAAGATGTGGATTTGGCCAAGGAGGCAGATTTAAACTGAACATCAGAAAGAATTCCCCAACGGTAAGAGCTGTCAACAGTGGAACAAGCTGACTTGGGAGGTTATTACACAGAGGTTGGATGGTGATCTGTTAAGATGCTGTAGCAGTGGAGTTCTGTACTGGAGAAGTGGTTGGAACAAACCATCTCCAAGTTCCGCTCCAGTTCTTAAATCCCATGCTATGCTAACGGTATTGTTCGGTTTTTAAAGACTAAGTACAGAATGGCACGGGGGCCTATGCCAATAGAGTATTGACTGCATTATGGGACTGAGCAGAATAGTTCCTGTTCAGTTTTACAAACCAACCTCTTTGTATCTGCATATGGGCTAAACTTCCAGGGAATTACTGACTGAATAATCGGCAAATGAGACAGAGCAATTGGATTAGCTATATTTGCAAGTTTATGTTGTAGTAGATCATCTAGTTTAAGCTGTGGCTCCGTGCAGACAAATAAGAGTTTTTCTTTCTTTCTCATCCCACTCTGATTCTTTTATGATATGAAAATGAGCAAAGCTACTGGAGGGAGCAATGCTGCAATTGCATATGGTTCATGGGGGTAACATCCGTTGGATCTGCATATTCAGCTGGAAGTACTTCTGTAAGCTATCAACCCTAAATCCCTTTCATAAATAGTCTGGGTCATGTTAGCTTGCTAGAGGTCTTAAGCTGATGTTCACAGGCTACTCTACAGAAGTGGCTTTTCTCACTTTTGCTTGCTGAATAAACCTACATGTAATGATGGCTTCTCTTAGGCAGGGAGAGTTCTCTCATTATTCTCCTTCTAATACACATCTCGGGGTCTTGACAATGATCAAGGCCAACTGCCTTGCCACTTTTCCCCGTGCCCCCCTTTCATTTTTAGTGCAATATTTTCCCACTCTGACACTGTCACATTAGCTTCTAATGGTTGGTTATATGGGTCTAAAAACTTCACCCAAATACGTCCAGTACAGTCATGACCTCCTCTTTGTGATGGTTCTGTTTCCTTTTTTTCTTGCAAGGCCTGTTGGTGATGAAGCTAGAAAATGTAGGCTGGAAGAAGTACTTCTGTGAGTTGCTTCTGCAGATGAATCATTAAAACAATAGACCTCGTCAGACTAGCTAATTCTGTATTCCCAATCTTGCATACAGAGGCTTTGTTGAGATTATTTTTTTACAGCTGAGAAGTTACAGGGAGCACTGTCCTTGTGCACTGTGTAGATCTGTGCCGATCTCTTTTCCCATTCTTGTTTGGTGTATGGGATCTTATTGCCTTGATTGATCACAAGTTGCCTTTTATGCTGTCTTTATGCTTAGATTTGAGGTTACTGTTGAAGTTCATATCCTTTTGCCTTCCTATATATCTGAGTTGCTTCTGTGGCAGACATGTGTGAGTTCTTCAGCCCCTTCTCTAGTTGGCTGTGCCTAGTGACCCTGCCCTCCACTTTACCAGACCCAGTAGGAACTCAGTCCCATTGTATACCATCTGAGTCTATGCTATGGAAAACTCTGAAAGTCTACATGGTTTGTTTTCAAGATGATTTTGCTGTTGGCCGAGGACCATACCTGGAAACACCACAACTTAGAATAAATTATTCTTGCTAGACACATTTATGTTTTATTTTGAGTGTATTTTATCTTGCAGAATACACACACATATGGGGAATTGGTTCTCCATGTGTATTTTTGAACTACATGCCCCCATTCCACACTCTGCATCCCTAGTTGCTCTTGTTTCAGAAAAACTTCCTGCAGAGAAAAAACAGAATGCTATAGTCAGAGGATAAATAGCCTTACTTAGCCTCAAATCTCACTTGATTTCTTTTAAATAAGATTACTTTTTTCCATATGATTCATTGCTAATGCCAATGATAAAAAAGAAAAGAGAAAACCTACCATCACGAGCACAAGAGTTTCCTGTCTTCTAATTTGACATCTTATTTTAAAATCTTAGCACAATGAATTAGAGCTGCTAACCATCTCTATTTATGAATATAATCATCTCAGAATCTTTTGCAGAATTAATTAGCATACTCAGTGGTGGTATCATGGAACATGAAAGATGTAGCATGTGAGTAATCCTTTTTCCTGTTCATGATCAATTGATTTTCAAAGCTTGGTTGGGGGAAATGTAAGATTCCATTGCCTGAAGTCTGTTATCTGAATCTCTGAATGTTCCAATGTCTGAACAATACAGCTGCAGTGCACTAAGTCAGGGTTCCTCAACTGTGGCGACTTGAAGATGTGCGGACTTCAACTCCCAGAATTCCCCAGCCAGCCAGGCGGGCT